CACACACACACACACTCACTCACACACACACACACACACACACTCTCTCTCTCACACACACACTCACTCACTCACACAATCACACACACGCGCACACACACACGCACACACACATGCACGCACGCACACACACACGCACGCACACTCACTCCCACACACACACGCGCACGCACAGACACACACGCACACACACTCACTCACTCCCACACACACACACGCACACACACATGCACTCACACAATCACACACACACACACACACACACACACACACGAGTTTTGATGTGTTTTTCTGCTTTTATCTTATCAAACTCTTTCTTCTCTCACGTGAGCAGTTCCTCTAGTGTTACGCAGCTGTAGTGAGTTCATCGAGAAACATGGGGTCGTCGACGGGATCTACAGACTGTCTGGAGTGTCGTCCAACACACAGAAACTACGGTGTGTGTGAAAAAGGGTTATTAATTATAAATAAAACCATAACAATATTTTTAGTATTTGAAATAAAATTAATGTTTCCTGAAATAAAATGTTAAATATATATATATAGGTAGCAACATTTCTCATTTTCACTCAAGTTTAAGTAATAAAGAAATTCAAATAATACTCTTAATAAATGATCATACCGTTACTTTTATAATTAAGAGTTTCCTTAAAATAAGATATTTAAAAAACATTTTTTAAATTTAATAAAAAAAAATTAAAAATTTAAATTATTTGTATTATTGGAGACACATACATAAAATCCAGAATAATTTAAATATTTTTGGTGTAATGCATTAATTAAAACTAAAACCATAAAAATGTTATTTGAAATCAAATAAATTATATATTTAAAAATAAATAAATATAAAAAATATACACTTCTCATTCCCATTTAGTTTATTTTGAAGTACTAAAATTACTAAAAGAAAACTGAAGTAAAAATTAAAAACAATACAGACATAAAAAAAACTAATAAAAATCACAAAAACACATAACAAAATTCAATTAAAATGAAAATGGAAAATATTAAATTTAAAATGAATTCAAAATATAAATAAAATCTATAATAGTATTATTAATATTATTATTACAAATATTGCACTGGGGAGAAGGGGAATATAATAATTTGTACACTATACACACTATGTATACATTGTATAGTTTAGTATATTTTTTCACAAACATATCTGCTCTATTCTATTGTCTTTTTTATTCACATATCTCTTGATGGTTATATTCTATATTCTGTGTTTTATTATGTGTGTGTATGTCCATAATTTATTGTTGGCTTGTTTAGATCACATGTATGTAATATGTATGTGACAAATAGAGGATATCAGTGATACTAAAATGAAAACTGACTTCATACAGCTACTAAAAATCACATAAACACCAGCTGATTCAAGCACGTTTACAGACCTGAGGCCGTTTCTGAAGGTGCTGTGTGTGTGTGTGTGTGTGTGTGTGTGTGTGAGTTCGACAGTGAAGGATCTCCTGACCTGTATAAGGACCTGTATCTACAGGACATTCACTGCGTCAGCTCTCTGTGTAAGGCGTATTTCAGAGAGCTGCCCAACCCTCTGCTCACATACGAGCTGTACGACCGCTTCGCCGTGAGTCTGACCTCTTCCTCTCTGCTCGTCAGTGCATCATGTACAAATGTGTGCTTTAAAGTCTGCTAATAAATAAAGTTGATATTGATCAACATGCATTTTTTTTTTTCAAATATAATGGCAATATTTAACATGAGATGCACACAAAATATATGCTGCCTGTATTCATATATATGATATACAATATATATTTGATGGCATATAAGGCAATGCAATTATTTTGCACAATGTTTATTCCTAACAAAAATGTTTTTGACAAAATTTACATTTATTCATTTGGCAAATGCTTTCATCCAAAGTCACTTAAAAATCCTTAAAAATCATCTCATCGTCACAAAAATCAGTAGGTTTCTGTAATTATAAATGCATAAACTGCATAAATGTAAATATAATTGTCAGACTGATCTGTCTGTCTATCTAACAATACATTACAATGCAATTAATTAAAACTGAAACTTAAAAAATCTTTTATTACTTACAAATTAACAAAAATATTAACTATTAATTCATATTAACTAAAATAAAATATAAAGAAACTTATTTTATTTCAGCCAGCTGCAAATGCAACATCACATATTTTCATTTAATTTAACTTGACATATTTAAATTACTATTCTCATAACTAAAACTGAAATTTGGTTCAATTTTAAGTTAATAAAACTAAAATATATAAATAAAAAATATATAGACATATTAAAAAAAACTATTAAAAATGACAAAAACACAATAAACTAAACTAAAATTAAAATTAAAAATATAGAAATAAAAATTCTAAATATTTATAAAAACTATAAGAGTATACTGATGATAAAGTAACACTGGATAAAACGTATATCTCTTTTACTGTGATCAGTGACAGACTCATACCAACCAAGATTTTTAATATTCAGTTATTTTAATATTCATATTTTTTATATTAGTTATAGTCAGATTATCAAATCGTGCGATGGCTGTGTGCACTTGTCTGATCAACAGAAGTGTTGTGCAAAATGTGCTGACAATTACATTTCAGTTTGACCAATTTTAGAGAATTTCTAGGAATTTTTGTGCAAAATAATGGTTAATTCCAGCAATTCAGTGCATTCAGGAACTGTCTTGTCTTTGGTCTCAGGACGCAGTGGCGATTCAGCTGGAGGACGAGCGGCTGGTGAAGATTAAAGAGGTTCTGAAGGATTTACCAGCTCTTCATTACAGGTGAACACAGAAAAACGATTCAAATTATTCATTCACTCTCATGTCGTTTTCTGTAAAAGCTCAGAGAAGCACAATAATGTGTTTTAGTCACATCAACAATCCACATGCCAGTTTTGAACCTGAACATGCATTCGATTTTACAGGGCAAGATTTTCAATGCATAAAAACTTAAAAAAGACTTCCTAAAGCTTAGAATATATAGTGCAAGAGTCACTGTTGTGATGCTTTATGGAGCTCTCTTTTGCACTTGACAGTAGAATTTAGAGTCTAGTTTAATTGTATTCCCTTAATGCTCTTTTTTCCCCCAGGACTCTGGAGTATTTGATGCGTCATCTGGTCAAGATGTCCACTTTCGCCTCTCAGACCAACATGCACTCCAGAAACCTGGCCATCGTCTGGGCCCCGAACCTCCTCAGGTGTGTGTGTATGTGTGTGTGTGTGTGTGTGTGTGTGTGTGTGTGCGTGCATGCGTCCGTGCGTGTGATTGAGTGAGTGTGTACTGGTTTATATATCCTGGTGGGGACTTAAACCTGACTTTTCACAAAAACAAACAAACCTGTGTGTGTGTGTGCGTGTGAGTGTGAGTGTGTGTGTGTGCGTGTGAGCGTGAGAGTGCGTGTGTGTGTGTGTGTGAGTGTGAGAGTGCATGTGCGTGTGTGTGTGTGTGTGTGTGTGTGTGTGACTTCACTGCTATACTTATGTATTATTTTTGGGAATCTGTACTCTACTTGAGTTCTGTTAACTGAGTACTTTTACTCATTTACATTTACGAGGTAAATACTTTTTACTACATTGTGATTTATTGACTTAAAAATACAAAATATATATGTCATGTGACTAAATGTTCACTTTTCACTTTTGAGTGTGCTAAATCTTTCAGACACAGAAGTGATTGTTTTTTTTTAATAACCGTCGCTGTCTAAAAATACTCTAAAATTCACTATATTCAAATGTCAAACCACAGTAAACTCGTCTGGTGCTAATATTCAGGTAACAGTTTTCAGTTTAACATCTGCTGTTCCAGATAATCAGAACAGTGACATAATAGTGATTTCGACAGGTTCCTTGCATTATAAATATTAAAATAAATATTGAAATCTCTTCTGCCTCTTGTTTTCAAAAGTCAAATTAAAAAGCTGAGAAAAGAGTTTACTTTTTTATTTTTAAATGCTTAAGTACACTTAATTGTGGACATTTTTATACTTCCACTCGTGCATTTTTTTGCATAGGTTCCTTTAATCGAGTAAAGTATTTTTAACGTAGTATCTGTACCTGTTACACTGCAAAAATGATTTCCTTAGTCAGTATTTTTGTCTTGTTTTCCAGTAAAAATATCTAAACATTCTTAAATTAAGATACATTTACTTGAGAAGGAAAAGTACTATTAGTGTTATTAGATATTAAGACTTGTTTTCTGAAAAATCGACCAAAATGAATGCTTAAAAGAAGAGAAAATCAAAAAAATATGTTTTTAAATACAGTACTGTAATATTTAATACAGGTTTTTAAAAATTTTTTTAAAAAGCCTTTATTCAAACATGGCTCACTCTAGAAACATTAAAAATGACTAGAACACTGATGCATTTCGGCCATCCAGCCTTCCTCAGAGTGTGTCAAGTACAAAATTAGTCACAGGTGTAGATATAATCAGTTGCTCAATAGAAATGGGAGAAACCAAAATACTCATTACAGGGGGGACCAATAGCATCATTAACAATTTCGAAGTATAATCACATGTACCAAAAAAAATTATTATATATACATCTTGATAATAATAATAATAATGATCTTACTGATAATCATTTCACAAATATGGAGTTAAATCTAATTCCTCATTCAAACCAGGAAAAATGGTGGCTTTTAGCTGAAAAATCCAAAAGGCTTCCCTCTGTAATCTATCACCCTTTCTAATCGATCCAGTTACAATTTCCAAACCAATAATTCTTAAAGTAGACGGATTTGAGTCATGTGCAGATGCATAATGTACTGCCATGGGGTAAGCTTTGTTTCTTGGACGAATTGCATTTTTGTGATCACATAATCTAGATGAAAAGGATTATAAGGATGGAAGGGTTTACACCTGGAAAAGACCAACACGTAATAAGCAGAGAGGAATGTCCGAAAAGAGAACGCAGCGCACTGAACATTCAGTCTCCTTTAACTTGACCAGTAGTGATGATGATTACCTTTCTGATAGTAGAGCTGATTCCAGCAGTTTTTTACAGTCACAGCCCAAATCAATAATGAACCATTCAAGAGCAGGAGAAAGACAAGGAGAGGGAGAAAGAAGACAGTTAAACAATCAACGGCGTCCGAGTACACGCAAAAGGACACCGTAGTGAATTTGTCAAGTTTTCCGTTAACAGATGATGCTGTACAAGTTTTATCAAAAGGCCTCTCATTTGCTCCGACGCATCAAACAACAGAATTTAAAACTAAAATTGACTTATTTCGTTTCCATCGCAATTTGCAGTTGAGGGCATGGTATGGACGAACAACTCAAATGCCGACTGACGTGTCAGGAGAGAACCAAGAATCTTCAAGAAATCCCTCTAAGTTTAAACCAAAATCTTACTTTCTGCCTCCAATCCAGAATGCAGCCATTAATACCTTTGTCAAAAAGGTCAATTATGATGTAGAATTACTTTTTAAGGATGCTATTAAACCATCGAAAAAGAATCTAACAAGAAAAGAGCAAGATGCATTGATCTTATCAACCAATAAAGATTTGGTCATTGAGCCAGCAGATAAAGGTGGAGCTGTAGTAATATGGAGTAGAGACTTGTATATACAAGAGGCCTATCGACAACTTAAGAATGAGGACTTTTATCAACATCTACGGAATGATCCAACAGAAATGATGAAAATATAATTGCTATCTTTATTAACTGATGCAAGAGAAAAGAGCTGGATTACGGACAATGAATTTAAATTTCTCTATGTTAAAAATCCATGCATTGCATAAAGTACTATTAGTGTTATTAGATATTAAGACTTGTTTTCTGAAAAATCGACCAAAATGAATGCTTAAAAGAAGAGAAAATCAAAAAAATATGTTTTTAAATACAGTACTGTAATATTTAATACAGGTTTTTAAAAATTTTTTTAAAAAGCCTTTATTCAAACATGGCTCACTCTAGAAACATTAAAAATGACTAGAACACTGATGCATTTCGGCCATCCAGCCTTCCTCAGAGTGTGTCAAGTACAAAATTAGTCACAGGTGTAGATATAATCAGTTGCTCAATAGAAATGGGAGAAACCAAAATACTCATTACAGGGGGGACCAATAGCATCATTAACAATTTCGAAGTATAATCACATGTACCAAAAAAAATTATTATATATACATCTTGATAATAATAATAATAATGATCTTACTGATAATCATTTCACAAATATGGAGTTAAATCTAATTCCTCATTCAAACCAGGAAAAATGGTGGCTTTTAGCTGAAAAATCCAAAAGGCTTCCCTCTGTAATCTATCACCCTTTCTAATCGATCCAGTTACAATTTCCAAACCAATAATTCTTAAAGTAGACGGATTTGAGTCATGTGCAGATGCATAATGTACTGCCATGGGGTAAGCTTTGTTTCTTGGACGAATTGCATTTTTGTGATCACATAATCTAGATGAAAAGGATTATAAGGATGGAAGGGTTTACACCTGGAAAAGACCAACACGTAATAAGCAGAGAGGAATGTCCGAAAAGAGAACGCAGCGCACTGAACATTCAGTCTCCTTTAACTTGACCAGTAGTGATGATGATTACCTTTCTGATAGTAGAGCTGATTCCAGCAGTTTTTTACAGTCACAGCCCAAATCAATAATGAACCATTCAAGAGCAGGAGAAAGACAAGGAGAGGGAGAAAGAAGACAGTTAAACAATCAACGGCGTCCGAGTACACGCAAAAGGACACCGTAGTGAATTTGTCAAGTTTTCCGTTAACAGATGATGCTGTACAAGTTTTATCAAAAGGCCTCTCATTTGCTCCGACGCATCAAACAACAGAATTTAAAACTAAAATTGACTTATTTCGTTTCCATCGCAATTTGCAGTTGAGGGCATGGTATGGACGAACAACTCAAATGCCGACTGACGTGTCAGGAGAGAACCAAGAATCTTCAAGAAATCCCTCTAAAGTTTAAACCAAAATCTTACTTCTGCCTCCAATCCAGAATGCAACCATTAATACCTTTATCAAAAAAGGTCAATTATGATGTAGAATTACTTTTTAAGAAGGATATTAAACCATCGAAAAAGAATCTAACAAGAAAAGAGCAAGATGCATTGATCTCCTTATCAACTAATAAAGATTTGGTCATTAAGCTGGCGGATAACGGTGGAGCTGTAGTAATATGGAGTAGAGACTTGTATATAGAAGAGGCCTATCGACAGCTTAAGAATGAGGACTTTTATCAACATCTAAGGAATGATCCAACAGAAATGATGAAAATATAATTGCTATCTTTATTAACTGATGCAAGAGAAAAGAGCTGGATTACGGATAATGAATTTAAATTTCTCTATGTTAAAAATCCACGCATTGCATGTTTTTATATGTTGCCAAAAATTCACAAAAATGTGAACAAACCTCCTGGACATCCTATCATTTCTAATAATGGGAGTCTCTTGGAACCATGTTCACAATATATTGATTATTTTATTAAGCCTTTGGTACCCACCCTTCCAGCCTTTATTCTGGACACAACAGATGCAATTAAAAAAATCAAGGATATTATACTTCGAAATTGTTAATGATGCTATTGGTCCCCCCTGTAATGAGTATTTTGGTTTCTCCCATTTCTATTGAGCAACTGATTATATCTACACCTGTGACTAATTTTGTACTTGACACACTCCGAGGAAGGCTGGATGGCCGAAATGCATCCGTGTTCTAGTCATTTTTAATGTTTCTAGAGTGAGCCATGTTTGAATAAAGGCTTTTGGAACTGGAAGAAGTGCCTTGGATCTGTAGTTTCTATAGAAAAAAACTACTTCATTTAAAAGGAAAAACAAGATTATTATTATTTATTTATTTATTTTTCTAAACCCCATTAACACTTATTTTTTCTTGTTTTAATCAAAAACTTAATTTGTATGCATTTTTCAGAAAAAAGGCTTAATATTTTAATTTAGTTCTCAAGTAAATGTGTCTTGATTTGAGAATTTGTAGATATTTGTACCGGAAATCAAGACAAAAATGCTATGTAAGAAAATCATTTTTGCAGTGTAACTTAAGTCCGATTTCTCAGCACTTTTGTGTGTGGCATTGGTTGCAAGTGTGATTCTCTGGCAGCTTCAGAATCAGCTTTATTAGTTATTATTGAATCAGCGCATAATTATCTGCAGATCGAAGGACATCGAGTCGACCGGTTTTAACGGCACCGCGGCGTTCATGGAGGTTCGGGTTCAGTCCATCGTGGTGGAGTTCATTCTCACTCACGTGGCCGAGGTTTTCTCAGGAACCGGTATTTCATCTTCCTTAATAAACCTTCTGCATTTTGTGTTATTTTCATCATCCTCAGTATTAAAGGGATAGTTCACCCAGAAATGAAAATGTGATGTTTATCTGCTTACCCCCTGCAGGGCATCTGAGATGTAGGTGACTTTGTTTCTTCAGTAGAACACATTTGATGATTTTTAACTCAAACCGTTGCAGTCTGTCAGTCATATAATGTAAGTGGATGGTTTGGTTTTGTTTGTGTATGTTTTTTTTGACTCTCAAAGCCGTGATTCCCATCCACTGACATTATATGACTGACAGACTGCAACGGTTTGAGTTAAAAATCTCTGTTTGAGTTCTACTGAAGAAACAAAGTCCCCTACATCTCGGATGCCCTGGGGGTAAGCAGATAAACATCACATTTTAATTTCTGGGTGAACTATCCCTTTAAGTGTTCCAGCTTTCTCAGTTGTAAAATGTTGATTCTGTTGTTTTAGGATTGTCTGTGGAGCGCAGGAAGTCCCTGCCGTCTCCCTCAATACTGTCCACTCAGGACGATCATTTCTTCAAGTCTCTACCGTTACACTGTCCAGGAAACCTCAGTCCAGGAGACGGACCTCCAGCCATGCGGTCGTATCACGCTATTATTGACGGCACTGACAAGTAAGACTGATGAGACATAGTGCATCTCAATATGAAGCAGTGATGGTGAAACTGTAAGCTGCATTTGAAAGAGTTTAAACATGCTGAATGATGTGGCCATCTAGTGGTCAGAAAGACGAACAGCACCTCAGTTCTGTTACAGCTGCTGGATTCGCATCTGGCTCTGCCACTGATTCTTTCTTCTGTTATTTATTACATAATTCTTAATTTATTTTATTATACTTCACAGTATTATATTTTGTTTGGTTTTATTTTACATTATTTTCCTTTTGTTTTATTTGATTTTTTTATTTTAATCTATTGAATTTTGCTTCATATTATTTTACTACTTCATTTTACTTTTCTTTTCTTTTTACTTTAATTTAATTTAAATTCGATTTTATTACTGTATTTTACTTAATTTATTTTAATTTAGTTTTAATTTTATTATTTTTTATTGTAATTATTTTTATTTTTTATTTAATTTTATTTTATTATTTTCATTTTATTTGTTTTTATTTTTTTTATTTAACATTGTTTTATTAACCATAACACAAGTGTAACATCACTACTGTAAAGTTTGTGAAATTAGGATTAGTACATCCCCAGTAAAGTGAGTTTTAGGTTAAATAATAATGAATTTTTGAAGATAATTTAGCTAGATACTAATGCTTTTATTTTATTTTATTTTATTTTACTTTATTTTATTTTATTTCACTTCATTTTCTTTTACTTTTTTACATTATTTTACTTTATTTTACTTTAACCCAAGTGTAATATCAATACTATTTTATTTTATTTTATTTTTTTATATTTATTTTATTTTTTAATTTTTTAATTTTAAATTTTTTTTAATTTTTTTAATTTTGAGCTTGACCTTGACCTTGACCTTGACCGTCTGTGTTGTGTTTCAGGAGGAAGGGCTCCCTCAAAGGAAGGAAGTGGAAATCCATCTTTAATTTGGGCGGAAGACTCCAAGATCCGCGCAAGAAGAACAAATACTGTCCTAAAGGTGCGAGCATCTGACTGTACATCAAACGGCTGTATTATACTGTATTCTGGAAATGCAAAATAAATGTTTGCATGACTGAAGACAACAGATAATTAACTACAAATGCTTCCCCTCTCACATCTAATTCATAGCTTTAGTTTGTCATTACTGATTCATGTTTATCTGTATCTTCTTAATGCACAGATAAAGAGAAGACGGGTCTGAGGCCGGCGAAGAGCATGGACTCTCTGAGCTCAGGTCCTTATGCACTAGACGGTATGAAGAGCGTTTTATCATCTGCTAATGATTAAGATTAATCTGTATATGCGGCTGTTTCAGTCTCATACTCATATTTAATCTGTATGAAATTACAATTACAGATTTACCGCAATCAGATATTAAATGTTGCACATTTCTTGGTGTTTAACATTCATCCTACTGATTGTGTACTTTACCTTAATTTAGAATTTGTACAATAATTTAAAAAGCATCTATAAGCACGAATATATGTTCAAAAATAAATGCCATAAATGCCTTTTTTTATTAATAACAAAACATCTTTAAATAATCTAAATCATTCTGTTTTTTTCTGTCCATATATGTAACTCATTAACCTAATCAAAGGTTTTAGATTTTTATTTTGAAACTGTTAGATTCATTACATGCACATCATTTTCTATTTAAGGAATTGTCTAATTATTCTCATCAAGATAATAAACATTATCTTTTATTCTGAAAAAGATATTCACGTGCTTAAAGTGTTCAGTGATTGCAATATTAATTTTGTTTAACTCTTTTCTCACTAAAAGTCATCAGAAGATTAATTATCACTACTTCTGCATGAGCACAAAAATATTCTATGCATGAATTTTTCACATCAGTTTCTGCAAAAAGATTTTTGAAAGGCATTAACTTTTTTTTTCATCAAGGATGCATTAAATTCAATCAATTGAGCATTTATAATATTACAAAAGATTTCTATCTCAAATAAATGTTCTTCTGACTTTCTATTCATCTGTGAATCCTGAAAAATAAAATGCATCACAGAAATGTTTCCACAAAAATATTGTGCAGCGCAACTGTTTTCAACATTGATAATAATCAGAAATGTTTCTCGAGCAGCAGATCAGCATATTATACTGATTTCTGAAGATCATGTGACACTGAAGACTGGAGGAATGATGCTGAAAATACAGCTGCGCATTACAGAAATACATTACAGTTTAACACATATTCACATAGAAAACAGCTGTTTTAATTTATAATAATATTTAATATTTTTTACAGTATTTTTGATCAAATAAATGCTGCCCTGGTGAGCAGAAGAGACTCTTTAAAAAACATTACCAAAAGCTTTTGAACAGACAGAATCTTACGTGTCAGTATTATTGTTTGTCTCTCAGAGTCCAAACATCATCCTCCTCTGGTTCTGTCCACGGTGTCAGGCAGCTCAGAGGGCGTGGCTTCTGCCGGCGGGGGCGTGTCCAGTGGATACGCGGTGACCTACAGGCGAACGGGCGGAGCTCAGGTCAGCATGGTGAGTGGAGGGACTCCAGGAACTTATAACCGTCTGGAGTCTGGGGGCGGAGCCGAGGGTGTGTTGCAGGGCGTGGCCAGATCGCCCGGAATGACCAGCAAAGCAGACCGGCGCGCCGGGATACACATATCAGGGCCATTTTCTGTAACCGTCCCGCTTCATATAACGTCTGGACTGGCTCTGGGTGTCCTGCACGGTGGCTGGAACGACAAGGAACAAACTCTGCAAGGAGACGAAGCAGAAGATGAGGAATTTAGGAGCACAGAAACAGAGACTGAGTCCACAGATGGGAATCCACAGAGCAAAAATTATGATGTTCAAGAGAGTGAAAGAGAAACTAATAGTTATGTGAAAAGTCAGGTGGATTGTGGGAAGGATATGGCAGAGATTACAAAAAAGGAGAATGACATGCCAGAAAAAGGAGATGCATCGAATGCCAAAGAAGCAGAGAAAGAAAATCTGAGTCAGAATCAAGAGTCTATGAAGGAAAATGTAGAAGATACACAACCACAAAGCAAAGAGGAAACCACAGAAGAGGATTACATGGGTAAGAGAGAAATACTGAGATTATTATTCACTCACATGTAAATGTGAGCAGTCCGATGATCACAAACTTACAAGTTCAGAATGAGTTGTCAATTATTTTTTTGCAATGTTTTCAAGGCATTTAGGGCAAGACACTGCAAGGAAAATATGGTAAAATAGGGTTTTTTAGTGCTGTCAAATGATTAATCGCAATTAATCGCATCCAAAATAAAAGTTTTTGTTTACATAATATATGATTGTGTACTGTGTATATTTATTATGTATATATAAATACAAACACATGCATGTATATATTTAAGATTTATATATTTAATTCCTCTCTATATTCTGAAGATTTTTACTGAGGGGTTTGTTCATATATCATTTACATTGATTTATATTTTGAACATTTAATTCCTAAAAACATTTAGTATTTTTTCAGTTGAGTTGACAGTATTTTCTGATTTTTGGAGTGATAAAAAGACTAATCCAAAATCCCTTCTGTAAAAACCTTTAATATATTGGCAAAACCAAACAAGATTTCTGTTATGCAAATGTATGCATATTAGTAACATACAAAAGTATGTTCGCAATTTTTTATGTAATCAACTGGGGAAGTATGGTGAGATATATTAGTTATTTTTTACCCTATTCACCTGGGATGTCTTGTCTTAAATGTGTATTTTGGATGTTTTTTGTTCACTAGTCTGAAATAACACATAAAAAGTCAAAAGCCCAAAATACAAAACCTGACCAGTGCATGAAAAAACAATGTTTTTCCCTGTAGCATCTTGCCGTAAATCTTAAAATAATATATGGGAAATTTTGATTGCTCATTACATGAGCTGTGTGAGAAAAGTGTGTGTTTGAAAATGAAGGCAAATGTGAATGTTTTTCCCACAGACATGAGAGGAAACCTCCATCAGGAACCCGACAGTCCACACTTCTATGAGGACATGGAGTTTCCAGACCCAGATCTGCCACTGGATTTTCAGGAAGCATTTGGGTTCCTGGATTCGATGGACAGCTGTACTGCAAACCAGGTGTGTTTATGCATGTGTGAATAAAGAAATGAATGAGTGAGAAATAACAGTCTCACGACTAATCTTCTCACAAGAGATCTGACTAATGCTTACTGCTGATTCCAACAGTACATCGTACACACAAATATTAGTTAACACATAAATTAAATTAAATGATTAAAAATAAGAAATTCAATCTAATTAAAACTTCATAAAATACATTTACATTTTGAAGTACTGATGATCTACTTAGTTTTATACAATAGTGAATAATTATATATATATATATATATATATATATATGCTGTAATGAATTAAGTCACTAATTTAATTGAATTATTTTACACTTACATTTTGAATTAAATATTATAAAATTATAACCTAATACAAAATAAAATAAGTTTTATTCAGTATTAAATAATACAGTAGTATTACACATATACTGTATATATATATTTTTTTTTTTTATTAATTTTTTTTTTTTATTAAGTAAATTAAGTTATTAAAAATAGTTCTGCCTTTGTAACTATCTACATAGTATTGTTCATTACCTAATAAAATCTAAAATATTTTATAAAATATTAAAATAATTAATTAAAATTACATTTCCTTCAACTCTTCCGTGATCTTGGATGAACATTTTTTACCATAGCAATGCATTGTGGGATTGTGTGATGCTGTATTATATGATTCTATAAGAGGTTTTCATTCAGTTTCAGTGATTAATTATCTGTAATTTTTTTTAAATGAGTCTAAATGAAGTACCGCATAAAGTAGTTTAATACTGTTGACTTTGTATATGGTGAGCACGCTTATAATGCCTTAAGATGTTTGTAATTGACGTCTGTCTCGCTTTCTCTCTTCTCCAGGTTGAGTTCTCAGTCGAGGCGCCTTGTTTTGAGGAGGAATATGAGGATGAGGAGGATGAAAACAAGGACAGTCTGTCGCAAAACTGCACTAATGAGCATCAAACACAGTCCTTCACACACAGGCCTCTTCCTGGAAAATCACACAGCCTGCCGTATAAGTGCCGCCCCTTCCTGCCGACCCCATCATTATCCTCAGATGACGAGTACAGCCCTGCTGATGATGATAATGATGACGAGTCTGATAAAGGTTCTGAATATGAGGACATGTTTTGTCAGAGTCTCCCAGCCTGTCGGGATTTCCAGGGACTGTCTTGGTTGAGTCCACAAACCACCGCTGACTCGTCTACTAGCAACGATGTAGATCTTCACACTAGTAACCAATCAAACGCACTTCCTCCAGAGAACAATAATGATGCACAATCCATCGACCAATCAGAAGACACGATTCCTGCAGCTTCTGCATCGACAGACAGACGTGAACCTGCTTTTGATCCATCACTTTGTGAAGAACATCTCAGTTCAGCTGTATTAAAGACAGATGAAGTGTGTATGGATGAAAAGAAGAACGATGAGAGAGATTCAAAGAATGTGGAGAATGATAAACACACACTGATGTAAGTACCTGAGTTCTTCTAGAATGAAAGTTAATTTCATCATTTATTCACACACATGACTTTATTTCCTGTGTAAAAACATTAAAGGAGAATAAAACTATTCTTATAGAGGTTGTCAAGGTCTAATAATGACACAAAACACCATAAAATAATTCATACAATTTAAGTGCTATATTACACTTTTTTTTTAAAGTCATATGATGCTTTGTCTGAAAGAAACAGAAAATTAATTTAATTTACATTTTTACTTAAAATATTCTTTTTTAAATTAAGTTAAATTAAATATTTCTGACATTTTCACTATCTACTTTTGAATAACTACTAGCTTTGAATAAATGTACTGAATGAATGTAGCATAAAAAGTACATAGCACACAAATATTAAATTAATAGTAGTAATAATAAATTTAAACTATTTAATTAGTTTTTTCACTTACATTTTTCAAGTTAAATTAAATTACATATTTTTAATTTTAACTATCTACTTTGATTAAATATTGCATTATATATATATATATATATATATATATTAATAATTAGTAATTTAATAATTTTTAATGTAGTCTAATTCAATAATTTAATTTACATTTTTAATCAACAATATATATATATATTAAAAATTTTAATAAAATTACTTAAATTCATTTATTAATTAAATATAATAATAATAATAAGTAAATATATATTATAATTAATTAAATATATACACATATTTATCACTTAAAAAATAAACAGCACACACAAATGTTGGGTAATTTATGATTAATTTAATTATTAACAATTCATTATTTTCTAAATTTTTCAATCATTTAATTAACAGACTGAAAATCTGCCCAGTATTCATAAGGACTACTTTTATCATGCATTTATGGTTGTTTTTGGAGCTCGACAGCCCCTGGTCACTGTATGCTTTCTTTTTTATGGAAAACATAAACCTGAACACTCTAATAATCTCCTCTACTTGTGTTTCAAGGCAGAAATAATATTGGGTTTTAACAACACAAACGGTGTAGCATTTGTGTAATATTTGACTTTTGTATGTGTACAGAAGAGAAGATGATCTAGAGAGTGAAGCCAGTGAAGAAGACACTTATTTTGGACCGGACTCGATTCCTTCTTCACCAGAACCCGACCAAACTGAGACCGACAGCACCAGCGTTCCTGAGCCCATCCCAGCACTGTCTCCAGCTGAAGATGCTCAGCAGGTGCTGGATGCTGACGGTTACCATGGTAACAGTGAGGTAACCATCACAGATGAGCTCAAGGATGCAGACCGCGTCTCGCTGACTCCTCAAGACCAACCGCCAGAGGAACAAACACTGATTATCCACCAAACAAAGACCGAAGAGGGTCAAGCGGTGGAGGCTGAGAAGAGAGCGGAAACGGAAGTTATAGTGGAGTTGGAAAAATGCAGGGAAAATGAAGGAGAAGAGTGTGAGAACAACAACAAAACAGACGCAGGTGAAGGAAATTGTGAAGATGCTGAAGAAGATGCAAAACCTGGCTCTGCAGAGGAATGTAGTGATGGGAACGGAGAACAAAAACAAGTGAACACTTCTGAAAGAAAAGAGGATTTCAAGGAAAATAGTGGAGATTGTGAGGAAAATGCAAATGATGGACCTGAAGAAGTTGCCAGAAGACAAGATTTAGAGAAAAACAGTGGAGAATGTGAAGAAGGAGATGAAGGACACGCAAAAGAAGGAGAACAAGAAGCTAAAAGACAAGAAGATTTAGAGGAAAATAGTGAAGAATCTGAGAAGGTAGATGAGGAACATACAAAAGACAAAAACGAAGCTGAAAGACAAGAATATTTAGAGGAGAATAGTGGAGATTGTGAGGAAAATGCAAAAGATGGATCTAAAGAAGAAGCCAAAAGACAAGATTTTGAGAAAAGCAGTGGAGAATGTGAAGAAGGAGATGAAGGACACACAAAAGAAGGAGAACAAGAAGCTAAAAGACAAGAAGTTTTAAAGGAGAATAATGGAGAATCTGAGAAGGTAGATGAGGAACATACAAAAGAAGGAGAACAAAACAAAAACGAAGCTGAAAGACAAGAAGATTTAGAGAGAAAAAATGGAGAATGTGAGGAAAATGCAAATGATGGACCTAAAGAAGGAGAACAATACAGAAACGAAGCTGAAAGACAAGAAGATTTCGAGGAAAATAGTAAAGAAAATGCAAATGATGGACCTGAGGAAGAAGCCAAAAGACAAGATTTAGAGAAAAACAGTGAAGAATCTGAGAAGGTAGATGAGGAACATACAAAAGACCAAAACGAAGCTGAAAGACAAGAAGGTTTAGAGGAAAGCCATGAAGGAAACTCTGAGGAGGACGTGAACGTAAAAACAGAAAGTTCTGTTGAGGGAGATCTTTCTCCTGAAGGTGGAGATGATCCTGAGAAGTCCACACTCGTGCAGCGTCCAGACGAGATGCAACACGAACAAACAGAAAGCAAAGAGACGGAAGAGGAGACGTCTGATCAGATCTCAGCGGCGCCTCGCAAACGCAAACCTGCGAATCCCACCAAAGCGGTTCCTGCCGTCCCTCCCAAACCTCAGACCTCCAAACTCACGGCGTTCACGCTCAGAAAACAGCTTCAGCACAGACAACACGACGATAAAGAGGCGCAGGCAACCGACCAAGAACATGGAGCAGAAACTAAAACGCCGCAGAGAGAAAGCGCGGGGAACTGTAAAACACAGCCGAGACGCGCCGATGTGGACGGGACGAGGCTGGACTCCGAGGGTCCCACAGAGAGACGGGAAGCATGGGACGCAGACAGAGAGGCCAAGAGGAACAGCGGCATCAGCATGTGTTTCGATGAAGCCGTGGCTCGAGCCACAGAGAAGAGGAGCCGAGAGAGAGAGAGCACAGAGAGACTATCAGGAGCGCAGTGGGACAGAGAGTGCCGGAAAGACGGGAAAACTGACTGACTTGAGAGCAAACCTGTAAAATATTACGTGCAAAAAAAGGTGTTCACATTTTCTTTCAATATACTCATTTTCACACACACACACACACACACATATATATATATATATATGGGGTTAGAAGGTTTGTATAGCTGAGAAGTGCATCTCAAATGTGACCCTGGACCAAAAAAACAGTCTTAAGTATAAATTTTTCGAAATTGAGATGTATGCATAATCTGAAAGCTGAATAAATAAGCTTTCCATTGATGTGTGGTTTGTTAGGATAGGACAATATTTTGTCGAGATACAACTATTTGAAAATCTGGAATCTGAGGGGTGCAAAAAAATCTAAATATTGAGAAAATCGCCTTTAAAGGTCCCCTGAAATACTTAGAAACACGCGGCGTTACGTCATTGTAACTGAAACAGGAAGACAGGGCGGGACATATCAAGTTTTGGAGAACACTGCCTTATAGATAACCTAAAGACTAACATATTGATACTAACACCCAAAAAACTTTAATTTTGATTTCATGGGGACTTTAAAGTTGTCCAAATGAAGTTCTTAGCAATGCATATTACTAATCAAAAATTAAGTTTTGATATATTTACGGTAAGAAACTTACAAAATATCTTCATGGAACATGATCTTTACTTAATATCCTAATGATTTTTGTCATAAAAGAAAAATGTATAATTTTGACCCAAATATACCCCAGCGACTTAAGACTGCTTTTGTGCTCCAAGGTCACAAATCATTTAATAAATAAAATAATTTAATAAAAGAAATAAAATGGTTGGTTACAAACCAGCCACTCTATAAATATTGATTAACTAGTTGTTCATTTTCAGACTTGTTTAATGTTTTGATCATTGTGTTGCATTATATATCCTAATGCACTCGAAACTCAGGAACAAATGCATAAGAATCCGAACACAGCCGCTTAATTAAGACAATCTGTGTATATGATGGTTTATGTTTTTTTTATCTCTGTATACATCCAATGCATTTTATTTCAATAAAATAGAATTTTAATGATCTTTTGTGCGTATATGAGGTATGTTTTTAATGCTTTCACTTAGTTAGGACTCGTATATTATATATTTCAAGAGATCGGGATTTCAAAGAATCTAGCAGACGGAGCCATTTGTAATAGTTTTTTATTAATTAAAGCCGTGAAAAACTCTGTTATGCTGCTTGATACTGCAAACTGGTATTTGTTATATTATTTAATATATACACTGGTTTGTAGCACGGGTAGTTTTACCATTTACTGCACTTTGCTATTTTTATAGTCTATTTTTTGTCTAAATTTCGGCTAATGAATTGATGGAGATCTGGCAAGAGGTTTGTCTCTAATTGAATTTTATTATCAAAGGCTTCTAGCAAGACTTTCTCTTTTCTGTATTGGATTGTCATTTCTCCATTTAATCCCATCGGTCACAATAGTAAGATAGATATAGAAGTAAAGCTCTAAAAATGTTACTGACTGGTGTTTTAATGCATTTTCTGCAAATATGGAAAAAATGTAATATGTAATTTTTAGTGCAAATTGTCACATGACCAGAGCAGTTTACGTCCTGTTTGAACCATGATTTGATGACGGCTGCATCAAAGCTCCAACAACAAAAGGTTAATAAAGTAACAAAGATTTTTGGCACACATTATCTTTAAGGTGTCTAGTATTAATGTATGTGTTTCCAATTGTTCAGTTTTGTTGAGTGTGGTCATAGAATGAGTAAACATTTCGATGGCAACAATAGTGACCGCTGGGATAATAACTATTATTATTTTATTTTTTATCTTAGTATGCCTGTTCAGTGTTGTATAAGGGTTTTTATGTATAATAGTATAGCCTGACCATAGAATGTGATAAGACCGTTTAAAATGTGTTAATAACTGGGCTGAGATATATATACACATTATCCATAAAACCATAAAACATACTCTTTTCCATAAAAGTTTCAAAAATAATTATTATTGATTATTTTCAAGGGGTTACTAATCATTTTGATAGTTTCATGTCTGAGAAAAATTGTGGAGTATATGGGTTAAGTTCATTATTAGATCAATTATATAATTTAATATGGAATAATCTAAAAGAGTCTAACAATACATGCATATATACAGTTGTCTTGCCTATGCAAGTTCTTTGTTGGCATGAATAAAGACAAAAAGCCAGTCTTAAACATCGCAAACTGTCTCTTGGAGACACATATGAGACAATGCTTATCCACAAAATGCTTATTATAAATAAAAAAATTAATAATTTTAAGGGTTGTCATCAACCACCTGTCTCTGTTTCCATGGTTACCTCTAAGAACAGATGCCTATTTGGTACCAGGAGAAAATGACTGTAAGCAACTTTTACTCTTACTAAAACATTTGAAAATGTTGTTGAGTATTAATATGTAACATTGCATCTGTTCGGCTATTTTGCGCCCTGTTTCAATCCAGGGCGAAGCGCATCCGTTTTTGCGGCGCTTCTAATTTTGGATTTACGGTGCTTTACAAGAAACAGCCCAAAATCCATTGGTCCTTCAAACGGTGACGCACTTCACTCGGAAATGGTCAACTGTTTTGTGAGGTTTGTGTAAACACTATTGATGCGCGCTCGGCATTCACCAAAGGAAAGCACCAGATCGCACGCGACTCGCCAAACGAGCACCATCTGCCCGCGCGAGAACCACACAAGCGCTTCATTCGACACTTAAGCGACTGTAATGTCTACATCGGTGGATATCCACGCGCAGCTGGCGTCGATCCTCGAGCGCTTCGCCAAATGCGCGCTGCTGGAGATGAGCCGCGCGGTGGAGCTGGAGATGACGCGCCGCCAGATGGAGACGGAGACGCTGCTGGTCAAGCTCCAGTTCACCGAGAGCGAGCTGCGGTCAGCGCGACAGAGCCAAGCGAACCTGCGCTCCGTGGGAATACAAGTCAGCAACAGCGGCCAGAGAGGTGTGCGCAACTCCAGACAAGTCAGCATGATGCTGTTTAACCTGTGCTTTCAATCTTTAATCATAATATAATAGCTTGCGCTTCCGCTGAAACGACTTTCTTTCTCTGCTGACGTATGGAAGGCCCCGCTGCGGTTCAGCCAATAGCTAGCGACCCTTGTCCTAACCACGCCCCCTCAACATGTCATACGACGCCACATGAAACTAGCCTAGTCGCAGCGATGGTGAAAAGGTGCATCTTTGGATGTTTTCCTCTCAAAATGTTGAGTAAAATGGGTTGCAAATTCAGATTCATGTTGACTTTAAATTGAAGTGCTTAGCATAAAACATAAACATTGGGATCAGATTGGTACATACTGGTGTTAGTATTAGTAATAGGGATAATTTACAACAAAAATGATAATTCTTTCATCATTTACCCTCATGTAAAATGGTTGCATCATATCTCACAAATAGGAGTTTTTCAGTGGAAATTGGAGAATTTTCATCAAGCTCAGTTCCCGTCACTTCTGGGGTGCCCCAGGGCTCAATTCTGGGTCCAATCTTATTTTCTTTATAGTTACTCCCTCTCCGCTTAATTTTGTGTCCCATAACGTTTCATATCATATTTATGCCGATGATACTCAGCTCTATTTTCCTTTAAAATCAGGTACTGATTCAGTGTCCTCTCTGCTAGCTTGTTTAGAGGACATTAAGGTTTGGATGGACAATAATTTCCTTCAACTAAATCAGAAAAAGACTGAAGTTATGTTGTTTGGCCCTTCACACCTTTTAAATAATCTAAGTTCTACCCTGGGCCCCCTTCAAGAAAACATTCGCGATAAAGTAAAAAATCTGGGAGTTACCCTGGACCCTAAGTTAAAATTTGATAAACAAATCAATTCTGTAGTTAGAGCCAGTTTTCTGCAGCTTGGGGGACATTGCAAGCTTAAAAATATTCGGAGCTTTAGTGATTTGGAGACCGATATTCATGCATTCATCTCAACCAGGTTGGACTATTGTAACGCTCTATACGCTGGAATAAATCAGTCCTCGCTCTCGCGCTTGCAACTAGTACAGAATACCGCGGCTCGTTTTTTTACAGGGACAAATAAGAGAGAACATATCACACCTGTGTTAGCGTCACTTCATTGGTTACCTGTTCAATTCAGAGTTGATTTGAAAGTTTTAGTATTTGTATTTAAATCACTTCATGGTCTTGCCTCTACTTATATTTCAGATCTTCTCCATTCCTACTCTCCTGAGAGAACACCCAGATGTTATTAAATGTTCCAAAATCTCGACTTAAATCCAAAAGTTTTTGTTCCAAAGCTCTGGAATTCCCTACCATTGTCTATTAAACTATCCCCTACTCTATCCACATTTAAATCTTCTCTTAAAACACATTTTTTTCTCAGGCATAGGCTTAATTTGATAATATTTTAGCTTTAATTTTGTTTTATTTTGCATGGAAATGTTTTGTTTTGTTTTAACTTTATTAATTTTTGTTCTGTTTTCTTTTGATTTATTTTATTCGTATTTAAATTGTATTGTATGAGGATGTTTTCGTCTCGTATGTTGGTCAGCGTTTATGTTGTTTTAAAGGGCTATATAAATAAACTTGACCTTGACCTTCCAAAACCATATGATTTTCCTTCTTTCATGCAACATTCAGAAGATATTTTGCATGCAATGAAAGTGAATTTGAACCACCATATAAAGTTGTCTAGCTGGCTTGTGCTCTATATTCAAAGTCTTCTGAAGTCATTTGATAGCTTAGTTATTAGTTATTAATTACTGGAAATATTTCACTCTTTCTAACATGCCCCTTGGACTGCTTTTTTAAATACATGCATATATGTATGTGTGTGTGTGTCTGTGTGTGTGTATATATATATATATATATATATATA